ACGCTGTGTGCCAAAAGATCCCGACGGGCGCGTGGGGCTGCGTGCTGCCCACGACCGCGTAGATTCTCGCATCCCGTCGTGCATTTTGAACAAAATAATGAATAAATAGATTATATACCGAGCACTCTAGAAGCCAGGTGTGGAAAGGCGGACCAGCGGCAACAACGATACGAGTCTGTCGACGTTTCCAGCGCCGTGCGGACCCGCGCGTCGAGAGCACTGGGGCAACGACGGCTACTCTGGCTCAAACGAGTGGTGCTGGGTGGCGAAGCAGGGGCTTTTGCTCTTCGACGGACGCCACCCGCCGTTTTCGTGCGTCTCAGGCAACAGTGAAGTCGTGGGCACCACAGCGGTCGCAGAGACCTCTGACCGCGCGCAGTGCGTCACGTCAACCAATTTAGCCGTTAGTCGATGTCACCGGTTCGAGCCCGCAGCAAACTGCGCGGCCTGTGCCGAACGACTACTCTTCGACACTTTGTCTTACTACGGCTTTATGGCGTGTGGCAACACAGCGTTGGATTGTGTCAACATCACCAGCCCCGCCGCTCGAGGTACTTGACATTGCTCAACGTAGTACACTCAAGCACATGTCCGTAGCGCGAGATGTCTTCCTCGCCATTTGCGCCAGCCTTGTCCTTTGCAGTCTTCTCTGGCTGTGCGTCTACCGGAAGAGAAAGGTCAAGCTGCGTCTCATTCACCCGTATCTTGATGCGGACCGAAGCGCCAACAACGGTGGTATGCACTCGCCTTCTGCCGACTACGTGCATCTGGTCGAACCCTCCACGCGAACCGCCCAAACGTAGATTCCTTGAGCGAGTATCGTTAAATATTCATTATTTGGTTCAAAATGCACGACGGGATGCGAGACTCTACGCGGTTGTGGGCAGCACGCAGCCCCACGCGCCCGTCGGGATCTTTTGGCACACAGCGTTCGCCGGGAGCACGCATGTTGCGCTGTCGGAGCTGCAGAGGTACCGGCAGCGGCGAGTCGTCTTGTGTGACCGAAGTACCGACGTACTACTCGAATGGCTCGAATGGGTCCTCGGGTGCGTCTTTTCCGCATGCGTGACGCGATGACTTATGGTGCAACGTACGTAGTACTCAGCATAGCCTTGGGTGTCCTGAGCGTTGTACTCTTTGGCGCTGTCCTCGGCCTCTACATCAAGAAGAAGGACCGCGAGATGGTGGCGTCGCGACCT